TTAAAGCGGGTGTGTTACGCTAACAGTGGATACGCTGACCAGTGCCATTAATTAGATCTGGTGTCACAATAGTTTGGATTTAAAAAAATAATAATCTTTTTTCACTGTTATAGATTGAATAGCAGTCAGTGTCCTTAAAGCGGGTGTGTTACGCTAACAGTGGATACGCTGACCAGTGCCACCAATTAGATCTGGTGACACAAAGCTTGGATTTAAAAAAACAAAACACTTTTTTCACCGTTATAGATTGAATAGTGCCAGTGTCCTTAAAGCTGGTGTGTGTTACTACTAACAGTGGATAATGCTTGACCAGTGCCATTAATTAGATCTTGCGTCACAATAGCTTGATTTTAAAAAACAAAACACTTTTTTTCACTGTTATAGATTGAATAGCAGTCAGTGTCCTTAAAGCGGGTGTGTTACGCTAACAGTGGATACGCTGACCAGTGCCATTAATTAGATCTCGTGTCACAATAGCTTGGATTTAAAAAAACAAAACTCTTTTTTCACTGTTATAGATTGAATAGCAGTCAGTGTCCTTAAAGTGGGTGTGTTACGCTAACAGTGGATACGGTGACCATTGCCACCACTTAGACCTGGTGACACAAAGCTTGTATTTAAAAAAAAAAAAAAACCTCTTTTCACTGTTATAGATTGAATAGCAGTCAGTGTCCTTAAAGCGGGTGTGTTACGCTAACAGTGGATACGGTGACCAGTGCCACCAATTAGATCTGGTGACACAAAGCTTGGATTTAAAAAAAAAAAACACTTTTTTCACTGTTATAGATTGAATAGCAGTTAGTGTCCTTAAAGCCGGTGTGTTACGCTAAAGTGGATACGGTGACCAGTGCCAAATTTAGATCTGGTGACACAAAGTGCTTGGATTTAAAACAAAAACACTTTTCACTGTTATAGATTGAATAAGCAGTCAGTGTCCTTAAAGCTGGTGTGTTACGCTAACAGTGGATAGATGGTATCTCAGTGCCACCACTTAGATCTGGTGACACAGCCAAAGCTTGATTTTAAAACAAACACTTTTTTCACTGTTATAGATTGAATAGCAGTCAGTGTCCTTAAAGCTGGTGTGTGTAAGCGCCAATATGGATACGACCATTGCCACCACTTAGATCTGGTGACACAAAGCTTGTATTTAAAAAAAAACAACCACTCTTTTCACTGTTATATATTGAATAGCAGTCAGTGTCCTTAAAGCTGGTGTGTTACGCTAACAGTGGATACGGTGACCAGTGCCACCACTTAGATCTGGTGACACAAAGCTTGGATTTAAAAACAAAAAACACTTTTTTCACTGTTATAGATTGAATAGCAGTCAGTGTCCTTAAAGGGTGTGTTACGCTAACAGTGGATACGGTGACCAGTGTTACGCTAACAGTGGATACGGTGACCAGTGCCACCACTTAGATCTGGTGACACAAAGCTTGGATTTAAAAACAAAAAACACTTTTTTCACTGTT